CGACCCTCAAAGAACAAGTTGCAGAGCTCTGTTCTCTCCTTCAACCCACGTGAGTTCCGGGTCAAGTCTTCAGGCTTTCTGGCGAACACCTCCACACCCCAGGCCACTTCACTGGCCTCATATGAAATTCTCACACGTTTTTTTTAATTAAAATAGAATTGCGTCACGCTCTCCCTTACCCTCTCTTCCTTGCTGCCCATCTCAGGTCCCCTCCTTCTATCTCCCCCACTCAGCCTCCATTTCTTTAGATGACTGTTGTTACACATGTACAAATAGATAAACACAATTTACTCAATCCTTTTTTTGTTGTTGCTGTCTGTGTATATGGGCTCAAAGACTGGACATTCTGCATTGTACAAGCCAAGAAGAGAGCTCAGCCCCGGGAGACCATAAAGATCCTTCTCTCAGGAGTCACTTGTTACCTGCATTTCTTTGTCTGGGATTGGGGCTGTGTGATATTTGGCTTCCTCATAAAAAAATGTTGTTGGATTCTCATCTCCTTCAATATTCTTCCAAGTTTTGGTGATGAACTACAGGACCATGGAATTAGATGGGCATGGTCTGTGCCTGAACTCGCCAGTTGCCCCTGAGTATAACTCTTTAAAAGCAAATTAAAAAACTTAACGTAAAAAGTTGTATGTATGGTCACATTTATTCAACACCAATCTTTTGGTTTTTTGTTTTTTGTTTTGGTTTTTCGAGACAGGATTTCTCTGTATTGTTTTGGAGGCTGTCCTGGAACTCGCTCTGTAGACCAGGCTGGCCCCGAACTCACAGAGATCCTCCTTCCGAGTGCTGGGATTAAAGGCTTGTGCCACCAATGCCCGGCTTTCAACATCAATCTTACGCAAAACTTGAATGGATGGATATTCCTTATGCTTTGTTTCAGGAAAATTATGCTGCTGGAGCACTGGTCCTTTGAAACAGAAGCATTCAAGACTGGAGAATGTTTGCACCATAATCCATCGCACAACAGAAATCCCGGAAGCCTCGCCTCCGAGCCTTGCGTGGCCCACCAGGCTGAAGCCCAGTGTTTCCAGCATTAAACAGATGGCATTGGTGTACTTTTAGTTTCTGTTCTTCCCACATCAAGAGAAGGGGTGGGTAATCAGTGTAAAACATTCTTTTTAGGCCTTTCTTTCATGAGCATGAATAAATATAGCACCGTGAATCACCCGGTGTAGGAGACTAATTGCATTCTTGTTAGGGTCTTTTAAACACATGAGTAACCATGCTTTTGAATCTAAGCATTTCTTGCTTCCATCTTTGAGGCTGGGTGTTTTGATCAGTTGCAATTCCTGCATGATAAATGGGAGCGAAACAGAGGTGTGAGGATGAGCTTAAGACAGATTCTCGAGTGTCTTTGCATTCTTCTGCAGCCGGAAAGCTTCCAGAGATCAGGTAGATGCCAACGTTTCATGTTATTAATAAACATCAGGCAGGATTTGGTAAGATAAAAAGAATATAATGGGTGACAGTAAAAGGAAACAATTTCTCACTAGAACTTGCCCTGCTGTGTCACCTCCCTGTCATTATCTTGACCCCCATTTCACAGTGTGAATTGCAGGAGGCCAGGGAGAGATCTTTTTTTCTGTCTTCAAAATATTGTACACACAGCACCATGTCACCTTGTGGCCTTTCTTGGATATAACGCAAGGACATCAAGTATATTGTAGCATTTGCCATGAACCCATCACTGACACACAGATGTTAAGTACATGTCCTGCTGTGCTGACCCATAATGATCTCTGCCTCAGCACCCTGTCCTACTGACCCACAGCCATCTCTACCCAAGCACCCTGCCCTACTGACCACAGTGATCTCTACCCCAGCACCCTGCCCTACTGACCACAGTGATCTCTACCCAAGCACTCTGCCCTACTGACCCACAGTGATTTCTGCCCCAGGACCCTGACCTTCCTACTGACCCATGGTTTACTCCACCCACAGGCTCTTCCGTCCAAGTGGCACTCACATTTTAAGACATGTATATCCCTTCCTGAATATTGCTTTACTCAAGCAGAGGCCAGATTGTGACTTGGGGATTCTCATTTACTTTAAAAGTGTCTGTTGGGGGAATTAGTTAATATTTAACAAAGTCACTTTATATTCCACAGTTGAAGAAGGGCTTTCACTTCCCTTCTGTAAAGCTGGTTGTATCAGGACAAATTCTGACTCCCCATCTCTCTAGCCAGAATGCTTTGTGGTACCAATCAAACACCGGTGGGTTCAACCACAAAATATACTTCTTGCTCATCTAGCCTGTGTATGCATGTGTATGTGTGTGTTTGCATGTGTGTGCACATGTGCATGTGTTCTGGCCGGCATGCTGCTCTACCTGCTCTACAATGGAGCTCGTTCCTCAGCCCTCATGCACCCATAGATCACCGGTCAGGTGAAGTTTTGTCGAGATTCTGGCCATTTTGCTATGGACACAAACAACCCTTTTCACCCCCTTCTTATGGCTGCAGGGAAGCCTGATACATCCTGTCAGCAGTTCCGATGGCATCTGCGTAGAGGTGGTGCACATCACTTCTGCCATTTCATTGGACAAAACAAGTCCTGTGACCACTGAAGTGAGAGAAGGCCATGCCTGTGTTTGCAAGTGTGTGGAGATGTATTCCTCCTCTCACAAGGAACTAAGTGATTCTTGCTGGGTAAGTCTAGCATACAGCATATGTGTTTGTTTATGGGAACATGGGCTCCAAGCACAGCATTCATGTGGAGATACTCTGGGGTCAGACAGATTGTACATCCTCGGAAATCCCTATCTGCACATCTCTCTTGGGAGCTGGTGGATGGATGGCCTGTGTGTGAGCTCACAGAGGATTATTTCCTGGCAGTGTATAACAGCTTTGCACCTGGACTCTCTCTGTGCTGGATCGGGGAAAGCCTGTGAAACATTTTGCAGAATAATGTCCTAAATGCCATATAATTTTAATTGCAGACCAAATGCAAATGGGTAATTTAAAATATGCTCCAATCATACCAAGGGACAGCAATTTATCCACAATTATTGATGGAGTGAAATGGTTGCTAGGCCTTTGCTATTATTTAGAAAAAGAGAAAAAAGTAGTTAAATTGTAGAAGATGGTAGCAACAGGATTTTTGTTATTACATGTTTTTTAAAGATTTAGTGTGTGTGCATGTGTGACACATGTGTGTAGGTGAACACAGAGGCCAGAAGAGGGTACCAGATCCCCAGGAGCTAGAGTGGGGATGGGTACTGATTTTGAATCCTTTACAGGAGCATCCAGTACCCTTAAACATTGAGTTGCCTTTCTCCAATCTCTGTTGCTATATTTTCTTAATAGAGGACAGTTTGAGACAAAGAAAAGACAATTTTACTGGAAAATGCCAGACTAGCATAAAAAGAAGTGCAGAATTTAGTCAGCCTCTCAACCTGACATTGATGGCTAGAAAGAGGAAAGGTAGTGGCCTGCTTTAGATCCTGGAAATCAGAACTGACTCTTGCAAACTGTCATCTGACTGAGCATTGTGGCATGAGCACGAGCACACACACACACACACACACACACACACACACAAAGGCACACACACAAAGGCACACTCACATACTCATGCACTCACAAAACCCCACACACCTGCATGCACACACATAGGCAGGCACCCACACACAGATGCGCGCACAGACACACACACACACACCACATACATATATACATGCACTCACACACATAAGCATGTGCGCATGCACACATACACACACGGGCACACACGCACACACACAGAAACATACAACACACACACACACACATACACACTAAATCAGCCAACCAATCAATTGAATTTTAAAAACCTAAGGAGCAGCTCAACCAGCAGCTATTTGTATGATATTTTTATAACGTGAGAAAACAGTCCTGGGCCCCTCGTCGCAAAGCAGCCGACAGTGCTCCTACTGCAAGGAAGATGGCGGCATGAAGGAATGGCACTGACACTTGAAGCTGCCCCGGGAGGACGCTGCACTTTTGCTGCTTTGAGTTTCTTTCTGTGAGTTTTATCCACATACAGGGTTGGGCCAGATTCCTGCTGCATTGTCACCTGACTTCATCCTTGGCTTGGGGGTAACTGGAGAATTAATTCATATTCAATTAAAAAAGAAATGGAAAACAAACAGCCCGAGCGAGTACCCGTGCGTGCATTTCTCTGTATGTGGACGCAATTGTTTTAAAGACTCTTGTGACAGACTCAGCGGTTTGAGGAATCAGACACTTGCTCCCATGGGGGAAGTAGGTGTCTAATCCTGTGGTTTCCCAGATTGTGTTGGTGTCTGTACATACGGAGGAGCACAGAGGGTCGCTGGTGGATCCCCCGTAAGCCAGGAGGCTTTGGATCAGTTCTCCAGGGCTCAGAAAGGGTCCAACTGTGCTATCTAACACTGCCACTTAATTTTAACATTTCTGCAATTTTTTATTATGCTATTCCACCATTATTTTTTAAAAAAAGGGTTATCAACAAGGCAGAGCATTCTGCAAGGTTTTATAGACATTATAAACTTGACGCCAAGAAAGCAGCACCTGGTTGGATCATCCTTAGCCTGCTTTTCAAAAAACATCCACCGACTGCTGCTGTGCACGTCACCGCCCCTTTCATGGGTTCCCAGGCACCCCCCTCCGCGCTCAGTAAAGTGGACCACCGCTTGGAACAGACACCAGGGAGAATATCCACAGGCTCAGTTGTGGAAAAACCAATGCGCACAGAAGGATAGGGGTTGAGGAAACACAAGGTGATTGGATGCTGGGGAGAAACAGGGGAAAAAAAGAAGCAGGTTGGAGGCTTCCGTGTGGAGTGGATGGAGCGGTGCCCTCAAAATATCGCCAGCACAACACAAGCTAGGGGGTGGCGCTCCGCCAGCAGGAAGGAACCCTTACTCTTCCTGTCTGATGACTCATGATGCTCGGGTTGGAACAGGACTAACTGTAATCACACTTTTGAAACTTCAGCCATCAGGATGACCATTCTCACAGTAAGCTTTTCCAGTTGGCACACACACACAGAAAACCACGATGAAGGTTCCAAGACATTAGAGGGATAATCATCGGGGCTTGTTGTCTTGGTCTCCAGGGCTGACAGAACAGAACTCCACGGACTAGACATCACACAAGCACCAGAGTCAACTTGCCCCCATCCCTCTAGGAGAAGGGTGGGCAAGGAAGATTGGAGGACATGCAAGGGTCGTCTTGACAGGTAATCGTGATTGTAGCAAGAACAGACAGGGCCTCTTTCAAAGGGGCCTTTTGGAAGTCCAGGACTCCCGATGTCTGTGCCTTGGAGTTGGAATTTTCACACGTGAGTTTTAGAGGGGGTGTGAACATCACTTAGGTCTAGAATAAGTGTTCTGGTTCGTTGGGGACAATTGAAGGGATAGGAAGTACATCTAGATTTTATTTAGGCAATGTAGACCCACACCACCCACTATTCTCCACTCTGTTTCTTTTCCCCATTTTATCTATCTGTTCTTCTATCACACTCCCAAGCTATGAGCTTGAGATAAAACTGATTCAGTATTACAGAGTTTGGTGCAATTTCAGAAATGTGTTTTTATAAAGTCTGCTTTGAATGTAGTTGCTGAGTTTTAGAAAAGTAGCTTGGGGGAAGATTGTTCCAAAAATAATATTTCTAGCAAAAGGCAGAAATGATACAGACATTGATAAGCTTTCCTGTTGCCTGTGCTTTAATCTAATGGTCTGCACATCTTTTGAGCAGTCCAATTCTTCAGTAACAATGTTTATTTGTGACTGTTTTTCTGGTTTCATGATACTTAGAACAAATTTCAAGTAAACTGCGCTTTTCCTACTGTTACTTTGTTTTCCAGTGGTGGGAATATGCATATAATATATACTATATATGTGTGGGCTTGTGTAGGTTCCTGGTATTCTGTGTCCCGCTGCCTAGATTTTCCTGTTATTAATCATTTCACAATAAAGAGCATCAGTAATTTAAACATCAAATGCTTGCATCACTTCACATTTATATGTTGAAATCTCAAATCCCAGTACCCTAGAGTAATAGGTGTGGCATGAGGGAACAATGGGGTCAAGAGTATGGAGTCTCAGGAATGCGACGAGTGCCTTCCTTGTCTTTGGAGTACTACAGACCAAACCCAGGGACGCATCCACACCAGCAAACACTCTATAGTGATCAAGATTTTTGTTTCTGTAGAAGAGATCTTGGAGACTACTCTGTCTTCCTGCTGTGTGAGGACCCAGCTCAGAGTCAAGCGTCTAAGCAAGCATGGGTGTCATCAGAACCCACCTGTGCAGTGTCTCTCACCTGGACTTCTCTTGTTTCCCAAGAACCCAACGTTAATGGTCTTTGATAGCATCTCAAGTGAAGGTGATAGATGTGTACACTACATGATTGCGAAGACCCACAACATGACAGCATGCCATCTGACCTGTCAACCTGTGCTGGATACCTGAAGAGGTTTCTTCTCTTCACTGGCAGGTGAATTTTTGATTTCTTTAGGTATGAAAGAGGTGTCGTTTTCTTTACTGGCCTATGGAACAGGCCTCTTTGAGGGAATGTGCATCTAAATAATTTCTGCTCCATGTCCAATATGTCCTGTTCTTCCATCATCCTATTCTTTTACTCTAGAGACAGTCTGGGCACAATATCCTGAGAAAACTTGGGATGTAGGAACAAATCTAGGCCCCCGGGGCCACCAGAGGGTCTTGGCAGTCATTGTGTCCCAGATGAGCAGAGTCAGAATGTAACTAATTTGATACTTAGCCATTTAATGCCTATTGAGCTTACCATGGAACAGTTCCCAGACAAGTGTTAAACTTCATGGAAGTGGAGATGTGAGTCATCCATAATAAATACATGAAAAATCACATGTCTATACACATATATAACCAGTGTGCAAATATATACATAATGAGCATACGTTTGCTTGTGTGGCTATGTATATTCAAATTATAAAGATATAGATACATATGGTTATCTACATAGACTACCTTTGCTAGCTATATGGTTAAAGGTTAACATGTACATTACCTCACTAACAAAGGTAGACTGTGGTTTATGGGTTTTTTAATGTTTATGTATTAAAGCAAAATAAGCCATCTTCCCTGGGTGACACATTGTTGTCTTCCTTATGGAATATAGAGATGTAGCAACACATACGTGGATCCTGATCTTCATTCTGGGTGCTTAATGATTCTGGTTATGAAGAACGAGGTGCCAAGACATGGCGGACATCATTGCAGGGGAGACCGCCGAGGGCCTCTCCCAGCAGGGATTGAGAAGGGTGACTTCACCCACATTTGAAACAGCGGGAGTCAACACTGGGGTCGTCCCTTGCACGTCACCATGGGGTTCTTTTTCCAGTGGGAGAGTGGCGAGCATCACTTTCACCACAAGTTTCCACTTGGTGTTCCTGCTGCTGAGGAGTTTCAGGACACGGGCAACTCCGCAGGAAGCAGTGGTGTGTGTGTGTGTGTGTGTGTGTGTGTGTGTGTGTGTGTGTGTGTGCATTGTGTCTGTGTGCTCATGTGTTTGCTTGTTCAAGTTCATGTGTGCATGTGTACTCGTGGAGGTTAGACGTTAGACGTCAGCCTCCAGCATGAAGGACTGATTCAACACCCAGATCTCACTCCTGTACCCATTGGAGATTTCTCTCTCTCTCTCTCTCTCTCTCTCTCTCTCTCTCTCTCTGTCTCTGCTGCTTCCATTCACATCCAGGCAGAACAGAAGATTGCAGTGGGTAGCTACCTTGTTGTGTATCCTACTGAATCCTTGATACCCTTTGAATGAGCTCTCATGGATTTACCTACAAACTGGAGTGGTGTTTGGTGTCTACATGGCTGTAAAACTGCCTACATTTAAAGACTGAGAAACGATGTGTAGTTATTTCCTGGTAATTTAATACCTCTTTTATTGTATAAAAATAATACAAAACCGGTATATAAATGACTTTCTTATTTAAAAAACACATACTTCTCGCGGTTAATATTTTTTTCTTATTTTTACAATAAAATATTTTAAAGGTGCTTATAAACTTCGTTTATGGTAGTTATTTATTATTTTTAAAGGAAAACTCTCTTGAGATCTTTGTGTATTGTTTTAGCCACTTCTTTTAAAAAATACGTGAAGATGTTTCAGTTAAGTCTGATAAGCAAGTTATTACAGGTCTCTAAGGAAAGTAACCTAAAGTTTAATCAAACTTATGGTGACCAAAAAGATTATTTGGATGACAGCTCTGTTCAAAACTCTTGTCATTTTTCTTTTGTTGCCAATGAGCTTATACTATTTCCCCAGTTCTCTTTGCTTTTCTTCCCTAATTTTTCCTTTCTTTTATTTATTTTTTTTCTGTTCATGGTTTTCTCCTTCCTCATCTCCTTCCCACCTCTTTACCTCCTGACCCAAGCAACTCTATGCCTTCTTCTTTCCCTTGTTTTCATAATTTAGATAGACACCGTAAGGTGACGTCTATTGTCTGTTTTCCATTTATTTATCTATTTATTTACTTTTTGATGCCGGGGAACCATACTGGGCAGGTACATTGGCCAAATCGCTAGGCTGTAATGGTGATGTGTCAAATCGTCAAAGAAGGATTCCCTTTCAGTCCATGTATTAAGTAAAGTGGATTATTGTGTTACAGGCTCATGTATATTGGGGAAAACTGATAGCAAGTAGGATACATTCTGTGAACAGAATTTGTGGTCGCCTCTTTCTTGTTCACGAATGTATTCCGAGACAGACTTATGTCAAGTTTTCTTAAAGTCAAGATGAGAGTGTCATGCATTTGGTTGAGGAGGAAAGCAGTTGGGCAGTCTGGGTCACATCATTTAGTCCGTAATTCCCTGAGGCCTAGGTCCATCCATAGCTACTCTTACTATGAGCTGGTGTCATAATTTGGCATTGTGAACAGTAAAATTAAAAAATCCGGCAGGGGTTTTCTATATGACTGACCAATTGAGTCTGCCAAAACCCACGTTGAGGTGATTGCCCAAAACACACAAAACTACCAAGAGTGGTGAGTTCCAGAATCTGAAATGGGCACTCATTATGCACAGATGGCATAATGCATTTGCGGTTTTCCAAGAGTCAACGGTGTGACGATAGTGTGCACGCCGCTGATTTGTCTGCCTCACGGCTGATTTCTCGCATGATACGGGGCAGGGTTGGGTGGATGATCATCGCACACTGAATGGCAGTGGCGTGTCTCAACCCACACTTTGGGGAGATACTTTTACAAATGAGCTCTAGGGTCTGCCTTTTCCCTTTTATATTTGAATATCGACCATTTATGGGTTTCAATAGATGTGATTCTTTTTAGCCCTACTGCAAGTTACTCATTAGAGTTGAAAGCTCTCCCAAGCTTGGCTTCTTCTCACATCCATCCCTTATTCTTACTCTTATTTAAGCTACTGAAAGTGCCCATTAGGCTCTTGACACGCAGCAAACTTCAACAAAGGCAAAAACTTGAGATTCTGAGAGACTCTAATTTTTCCTGGGGAAGAAGTCAGCGAACATCCAAAATGCTAGGCTCTGCTTGGATCCTAACCTGAGCAGCCTCTGCCGTGTGCAGTGCAGGGAGGATCAGCTGGGAACACGCTTATCTTAAGCACGCTGAACAGGAGGCAAGGCCGTCCACAGGGCTTTCTCCGTTGTGCATTAACTCTTTCTTGTGATTGGGAAAAGCAGATCCTCCAGAGCTTTCTGCTGGCGGGTGTTCTAAACGGATGCCATCATAAGCATTGATTTTCATTTTCTGACACAGAACATGCATGTTTGAGGTCAGACAGCTTCACATAGCAGGCTTCTGAGAGGATGGTTGCTGAAATATATCTGTGTGTTCAAGCCTGTTTTGCAAATGCTAAGCACATTGAGCTTCCTCAGTGTTGAAGCCATTGCCATGGAAACATTGCCAGTTAATAACTGTGCCTGACTTCTTGTATCGCTGTGTCAGATACTAGTCAATGAATAGAAATGGCACCTTTGCGTTTGCTGTGTTACATACACAGAGGGACCCTGGAGGAGAAGATAGTGCACACCAGATAAAGAGTAACCACGTTGGTCTGTTTGCCGGTATCATCTTAAAATCAGTTTTCTATTACTGAGAAAGCCTGGCAAAGAAAGTGCCTTAAGGAAAGCATAGGGTGGCAATGCTCAGAGGCCATGTTATTACAAGGAAAAAGAGATTCCGGACAATTCTCAAGTCCTGAGGTCTCACCCTCCCTATGTGCAAAATTACATAGTGCTTCTGCCTCTGACTGAGGGACCTTTGGGTGTGTGTCACTGGTTACGGTGCCAGCTACAAGGCAAGGGCAGCTGTCATCTTGGGTTTAAGTTCTGTCTCTGAGAGACTGACCTCTCGTGCTGAGTCCATAGACCGACTTCACACTGTGGCATGACTCCATCTGCAGTTTCATTTTCCAGAAGGAGTGAGCTGATGGTACTCATGTGTGCTTCACACTCTGGGGTGATGTGCTCTAAATAATTAAATAAGTGTTCCGGGGTTTCTCTGCATGCATGCTTCTCTTGTTTACATTTTTAGGACTGGGTCAGCCTACTATGGTCTCCTAAATCCTAGGGAGCAGTTAAATAGAATATATATATATATATATATATATATATATATATATATATATATATCCAAGAATGGAGAATGCAGAGGCTGAGCAAGCCTTCTCGAGGAGCCTGGCTGTGGGACTCGGTGTGGTTCTTGAACCTGCAGTGTCTTCTTCCACAGGACATGAAGGTTAGAGCCTCCAGCTCCCATGAAGAACTGCAGCATTAGTCTGCCTTTCCCCACAGGCTCCGGTGAATTGGAGCAAACATTAGATCTTGAGAACACAACCACCATCTTCATCTGTTCTGACCACAAGTTGCCCCTCTGACATGGCTAAATGTTTTATCGCTGCTGATTTTGTTTGAAATGTCAAGTATGAAAAGTAAATGCTGTTTTTCAGGCCATTTATGGTAGGATGAGGTAATATCCCGAAGACAAAGAGAAGTCTCTGGCTGTCACCGGGCCCTGGGTTCTCTGGATGCTTTGTCCCCTACTAGAAGCATCAGCCTGGTTAGGTGGTCACTTGGAAATCTTGCTATTCCTCTGGAATTTGAAACTAATACAACAGGCTCATTCTACTGCAACTGCTTCTGTTTTGTTTTGTTTTTTGTTTTTTTGCTGTTTTTTCTGTGAGAAACTGTTCTGTGCCTTTGATCCCAGGGGTCTTATGCTTTCTCAAATACCTGTGGGGTAGTGTCAAGGAGACATCACCATGTGAGGAGGGAGACTTTGCAGACACTGAAGCAGAGATATGGGGTCTTCTTGAAATGCAGTTATAAGAAAGAAAGTGTTAGGAGAACCGAGTTCCTATCCAAGTTCTGCCACAGATAAATTGCAACACGAACTGTTGCTAATTTTTCTCCCTGGAATCATTCTGTCACATCTATAGTGAGGGGAGGATATAGCAGTTGGACTAGATGATGGAGGTTTTATGGGCAGGTTTCTTGTCTTAAAAATACTTTGTTGTATCCTTTCTTCTAAGAATCAGCATATTTTGTAAATACTGGCAATATAAATCTTATATTCTACTCAGCCTATGGGGCTTGGGAATCTTTTAGCAAACCTTAATCATTTGTTTTCCTTAGCATGCTCCAATTTTATATCAAAGGATATGCATATGTTCTCTGTATGTGTGATGCCTTATTTAGCGAGGGTAATTTCTCACTGGATTTAAATTTCAGAATTAATTTTGAGTATCTCTAGGGTTAGTTCAATTTTGGTAATTTTAAGATCCTGATATTTTGGGAATTATATAACATAGACACGTTTGGAAGATAAGCTACGCCCTCTGTTTAACATGAAACCTTTCTGAGATAAAGTTTACGGTATGATAATTTTTTAAGAAGAAAGTAAAACAGAGCTTGGAAGGACGATGTGCTCCCTGAGCTACGCCACATTCAGTGTCGTGAGCTAAGAGCTGGCTGCTGTCCAGAGATATTTTCTGCTAAGTCAATGCTACTGCACTCTGCAGTCTGTGCCAATGGGGAGTCCGGTACTTTATATTTCAAAACAATCAAGAAGCTAATTGTTTTGTCTCCACTGATACAACGAAGATGTGTCTATGACTCATAAACTTCAGTGTAAAATAACGCCAATTTGTTTTTAGTTCAAGCCTTTGAGCTTTGAGGGCACAGGCAAGACCTAACTCACCCTACCACCACTCCCATTATGCATGGTTTTGTTTTCTGAGGTTTCAGTCACCCCCAGTCACCCATGGTCTGATGAGGAATTTCTAGAATGGAAAAATCCTCGAAGAAACAACTCACACATATACCCACATATAAATCGCATATACTCCTAGGAGGATGATTCACACTTACATTATTTACATTTCTGCTCTAACTCCTCCCAGAGGAGTGCCCGTATCATGTCCGACCACCCAGTCACGTAGATTC